ACTCTCCTGACACTGGAGCACCATAGAAACATTCAGATAGAATTCCCACAGGTAAAGGATCTTTTCCAGTGGCTCTGCCAGGAGACAGTCTGCAGCCACCTGAGGGAACTTTTTGGAAATCTGAAGATAATGTAAGTTTATATAAAATGGGTGTTTATAAGCAACAAGCTATTTCCTCTTGCCACTAACGTGGAGATATTTCCATATTGGTATATATTTATGTAAGAAGCATAGAATCTTTTCTTAGGACAATGAATTTTTTTGGCAGGTTTTGAATTATGTATTTTCCTTTATAGTCATTACATTGTCTTCCTCTTTTTTCAGCCTTCATATAGATACTAACCTGATCCAGGTTACTCCTAAGAGAGATAAGTGGTTTGTATCTCCATCCCGATAACATTTATAAAATGACTATACTTTAAAAACTGCACCACTAAGTTCCCGAGGACCCATAAAAGGCAACTGGGTTTCATTTGCTACATTAAAAGCATCAGCCTAGCTGGTGTGGCTCAATGGCTGAGCGAGGACCCATGAACCAGAATGTCACTGTTCGATTCCTGGTCAGGGTACATTGCCAGGTTTTCCGGCTCAGTCCCATGTGGTGGGCGTGCAGGAGGCAGCTGACAGATGATTTTCTCTCATCACTGATGTTTCTATCCCTTTCTCTCCCTTCCTCTCTCTGAAATCAATAAAAACATTTTTTTAAAAAGCGTCATATTTTGCACTTGAAATCTGGCAGAACACTTTGATGATAATGTACAAACACTGTGAATAAATGGATTAATGACTAGCTAGCTACATAACAAATATTTTTGAAAGATTTTGTGTCATAAGTAGTAGGAAAATCAAACAAGTAATCCAAAACAGGTAACATTAAATTTTCAGAGAGTAACAGATTATTTTATCTGTAGCATCCCAGAACGGGCATTCGTGTACTATACAAAGCCCAAATGAACCAAGGGTGTCAAAGTGCCACCTTCATTAGCAGGACCTAGTGGGAAGAAGTCTCCTTTCCAGAGGCTGAGTAGACTTGATCAACACCGCCCGCAGCCGTAAGTCCACCTTATAAAATCACCACCCCAAGTTCCCACTGAATATCTTTATCTTACTTAGACAGAGACAACCCAGTCACTCAAAGAAAGGGAAATCACTTCTCCAAAAACGTAGCCGAACAAAGTGTGCTGTGACTCCGCTAAACTCAGAGGTTTGACTCGGCGCAGCAGTGTTCTCTCCTAAGCCCTCGGGCTCCCCATCCTCTCGGGATGGCCACTCCCGCTTCCATCTCTGGCCTCCGAGGCCCCGTCAGCAACAAATCTGACAGCTTTCCATCCTTTGGAAGCCTCGGGCTCCACCACACCCTGCTCTCTCACGGGCCCTGGCGGAATTTTATTGAAACACAGCACATGTCCAAGAGCTGACAAACCAACATTTGGGGCCTAAATAATCCAGCTCCCCTCAACTCTCAGAAACTAAAGTATCCTCGCAAATCTTGGATCCCCATGAACCCGCCCCTTCGGCTTGAACGTCCGGCTCTGGCGCCGACCCTTCAGCTCGCATGGCCCCAACTAGCTCGGGTGCCCGTGGCCCTTTGCCTGTTCTTCGCTTCGGGTTCCCGGCGCAGCTCACACCCCACCTGCCTCCCCGTCTGGAGAATCCGTGGAGGTTGGGAGACCCCCCCCCACCCCCGTCCCCCCAAAGCTTCCGGACTTGGGATTGAAGGCCCAGGGACGGTTGGATGGATTTGTCATCATTTTGCTGTGAACAAGTTAACACATTGTCACACCAACTTTATCACTTTCACTTAAGTGGGGAAGAGCAGAAGGACAAAGACGCCTCAGCCCCCAGGGAATAAATAAAGCCTGAGGGGGAGGTTGGGAAAGCCATGGGATGAGGACACAGGGGACTGGGTATGGAGTAGCTGCTCAGGACATGGTACTCACTGATTATCCATGAATGGGGAGGCTGCTGTTGTGGTTCTCAGGGTCCTCCAGGCCCTAACAGGTCCTCCTTAGACTAGGAGGGGCTGCCACTGGG